TCAGGAGATAATTACATATAAGATTTCTCTACAAGTACTGCCATTTCCTGGGCTACACCCTTAAGCCTAACAAAAGCATTTTCTGTTCTAAACCATCTGAACTCTCCTGAGCTTTCTACTTTCCTGTTCCTCTAAGTTGGGACTTGGCTCAGGGATGATCATAACGCTCCTCTCATGGATTTGGGTAGCATCTAAGCTTCATTGACTTCCCTCCAAATTTTTCTTTCTTTCCTAGTGGTCAAAAACTAGTCAAGGGTAGGAAAATGAGGTAGGGAAACATCATTATATGTATTTCCCCAACCTTGGTCCTCTGGGTTTGGCTCTTGCTAATTAGATAGACTTTTTGAATGGAAACAACTAACTTATTCAATAAAACATCTGGATCTTAAGATTGAAAGACATGGTTTTTTTTAAGATTTTTGTCTGCTACAAATTTGTAAAATTTACGTAAAACTCAAAATCTAAGAGTTTAACTCGTCTCTAGCTTGGAAGCACGCAGATAAAAACCTTGATGCTCGATGGTAAAGGAAGGGTAGGAGTAAAAGCAATGGAAAATGAAAGCACATAGTAGTTCTTTTCCTTTGTCTCCCTTCATCTCTCTTTAGCAGAGTTAAGTTTTACTTACAAAATAAAGCCTTTCCTTGCATTTCAGACCCTCTGATCTCCCCTTTCTATGATTGAGTATGTAATCAGTTCATAGCTTCAAATAGCTTTTTAGGTACATGCCTTGGTTTTTATTTTATTTTATTTTTTAATTTTATTTAGTTAGTCTGTAGGTTCATCAAAGTCAAGAATGATTCTACTTCTGTAACCTTCCTGTATTTATAATGATTTGCTTATGGTTAATTGGATGTGAACTCTCTTACTTTTTGATGGCTGTTTTTTCTATATGCAAAGTAGGCTGTTCCATCCTTAAGTACTGGCAGGGACTGCAATAGGATTTAAAGTATTTGAGATAACTGCACAATCTTAATATATATTTATATATATTAATATATATATTTATAAACATATTTTACATGCTTATGAAAATATATTTTTATGTTTATAATATACACATCATATATTTATATATATAATCTCCAAGCTCTTTTTGTTGTACTGCTTCTATATTTTCTACTAGACTTAAAAAATATCGTGGTTGTTAGAGAATTTTAAATGCATCCCTCTTATTCTGCATGAGGAAACTGATAAGGATGAGGGATGTGCAATCATTTGCCCAAAGACACGCAACCATTCAGCAGCAGCATGGGAACATGAATTCTTGGCTTACGATTATCAAATCACCTTTCCTTTGAGACACAAATATGCTTCACAACTTGTTTGGCTTATAAGACCATGCCAACTTGCACAGTGGAAAAGATACTTATAAATGAGTGTTAATTGCTTCCTGGACTCTCTGTTTATTGACGAATGTTTGGTTTCCAGGCAAAGAAAAAGCCTCTTTGCACAATTACAGAAATAACCTGATTAAAAGAGACTTTTCCGAATAACTTGTTAAATAAAGTGATCAGACTACAGAATAAATGAAGCTGAGGGCACTTGGAAGCATCAGATAATGTACAAAGTGACACCGAGGAAATATAAACACCAAGTTAGGGTCAGTTATCTGTGTACAGTAGTTTCTTAGTTCTTATAGTTGGTAAAGACTAAGTGACTGAGGCAACATTCTTTTCTGAACTTAAAAAATCTGAATATTTGAAGTTTATACTCTCCAGTTGAAAAATACGTCAGAGAAAAAATTCTGGTCAAGCTGAATTAAAAATTTTTTAATTAATAGGGGGAACTACAGTAACTTCATTATGTCGCCCAGGCCTTACTCGTCATTTTTGTGTGTACCTGGATGGATACATTGTGACATAGGAAGACATCGTTATGGAATCTGGCCAGTTAGCCCCATCTGGGCTGACAACTATCAAAGCTCAGATTCTGTAGGGTGTGAAAGTACACAGCACATTTGTAAATTTAGTTATCACAAGAAAGCCGTTATCTTTGCAAATAGAATTTCTTTGAAAATTTAAAGGAGAATCTCATTTTCTATGAGATCAGTCTCTATGGGGAGGGTTCAGAAAGCAAAAATGATTTTAACATGCTTGTGCATCTGGACATAAAATTTCATAACTGTGAAAAGCCTAATGAGATGGTTCCTAAAGGCAAGTTAAAACTGCAGCATCAAGCAGAAATTTTTTATTATCCATAAGAGATAATTAATAATGCCATTTGGCACAGTTAGATGTGCAGAAAATAGTATGAGAAGTAAGAATGCTTTGCTTTCTTTTTGCTTTTCAAGGCTGTTCAGGCTCCTTTTAAATTGCTTCCTGGGAAGTAGAACTTATGGTGTAAGGGTCATGGACTTAGAAACTAATTGAGATTCATTGTTTTGCTGCTCTGCCACAGATGGCTCATATAGAATATAATATAATGCTAGTCAAATGCATGTGGTATTTGGAAATAATTTTCCTTAGATAGGTTTATAATCATATAATCCAGCTAATCTTCCTAAGGGCACGATCTCTACCCACCATGTATTCCTTAGCTGGTTCCAATTTTGCTGGAAAAACTCTAACTCAATTCATAATTTTAGTCGAAAACAAAATGAGCTTTATTTTTTCCCCTTATTGCATTAGCTTATGGACAGGCTAGTTAGGAAACAAATCAGATAACATAATGTGCCACACAGTTGTTGATACACTTGTTCGATGTTTTTATACCTCTGCTCTCTTTCTAACTTTAAACAAAGAATAAGCTCAAAGAATAACCTGAATAAGCTACAGATAACCTGCCAGTCACTTACCATCAAATTTGAAGTCAAACCACTGTGTTTAGTTTTAAAGAAAACTCTTCCTTACCAACTACTTTTAAGTATGACAACTGTATTTAGGGTTGTTGGAGGAAAAAAGAAAACTCATAAGAAAAGCTATTTAAAAAACAACTTTTATTTTGGACAGTTTTAATGAAAACTTATATACATGAACTAAGTTTGGAGAAAACTGCTTATTAAATGAAATTTTTATGAAAACTAATGCACAATACTAGTATAAGCATTCACTTTTCATTTTTGTTAAAAATGCCAGTTCCCAGACTATCTTCACTGAGAAGGAATCTCTGGAGGTGGAGCCTGTCACCCGGGTTTTAAATAATTTCACCCAGGTGATTTTTGAGGCATGCCAAAGTCTGAGAACTAATGATCTAAAAACAGAGAGTTTGAATTTTTTTTTCTTTCATGTTCAAGCCTTTTTTTTTTCCTTCTAAATTTCACTTAAAATGCAATGGCCCCAGGTGGGGTCACTGTGGTCTCAGTGGTCATTTACTTGATGACAAGAGTTGGTTGCCTGAGAGCATGTATAAAAGGAGGAAGAGGAGAGAGTAAAGAACCTCGGTGTCTGAAATAAATGGATGTTCCTCGAGCGGGGAGAGAAGGGCACAGAGAGGGCAGTAAACTACCTCCGTGATCATTTTGAGTAGGCGCACTGTTTATCAACTGAATGCAATGAAATTTCTCTCTCGAAGATGTGCCTACTTTCTTCCTGACTTCTCCCTTGGAAGAGTCTATTGAATGTTGAATACTAAACATGTGCTCTATATCTTGCTTGGAATTAGTGGTCTTACTTCTAGAATCACTAAATAGCAAAGGCTTATCGAGTGCCAATTCTACACCTTAGATCACTACTGCAATCTAGAATCAACTGGGTACCTTAAAAATGGCTATTGCCCTGCCCGCATTCTAGGCTAATTAGAATTTCCAGAGATGAGGTTCATAACTTCCACTACAGATTCTCACGTATTGCCAGTTTGGGTCTTTCTCTTGGGTGCGATGAACTTGCCATGGAATTTTAATGCTTTGGCAAGGAAAAGTGGTTTTAGAGACAGTTTGAACCTTGAAATTGGAAAATCTGATTTCTAAACTGACTTTGTCTTAAAATGCATGATAAATTGAACTTATTGCCCTAGTGGCCAGAGAGCAATACGTACAATACATAATTTATAAAGACCTAACATCTGTTAACCAATATTTATTAACAGGACTCTTATAAAATGATTTTATTTTCGATGTTATATTATTTCACTTAGTTCTCATAGCAAATATAAGTCATTATATTATCTTCGTTTCACAAATGAGGAAATTGAGTCTCAGAGAAGTTAAAAAATTACCCCAAATAATAAATACCATTATTTATTGAATGACAACTACATGGCAGGCATGGTATAAGGTGTTTTGTAGATTATCACTGGATGAGATATATATTACACTAGTTTTCCCTGGAATATGATCTGTAAACACTGGTCTCTCAAGATGCTTTTGGGGGAAAAAAAAGATTCTGTGATTTAAGTTTGGGAAATGCTGAATACTTTTCCATCTTGTCAAAAATTCTAAATGCATCATAGATAACAGTAAACACACTGAAATGTCAGGCAGGAACGTTTAGCATAATGCTCCATAGGTTACTGGACCATGAAAATCTCATTTGACTAACCACTTGCCAATGAAACCTATTTTGAAAAATACTCCAACACAAATTTATGACCTAGAAACTATATCCCAGTTTTATATATTAAGAAACCAAGACTCAAATTCAGTCACTTGTCTAAAGTCATTCAGCATGTGGCTGACTGTACTAGAACTTGAGCCTAAGCTCTGATTTAGAAAATTATTCTGTTTCTAAAGTCTAGCGCTCCAGGGTGCTGACTCTGATACCCTATTTCTGTTTGTAAGCTGAAATAGAATTCTTGAGAGAATTAAATGTAATGCCATATATAAAAACATTTTGAAAGCAAAATAATATATAATGTCAGAATTAGGTAGTATACAGTTTAAAATAGTACATGAATATTAATTTTTGGAGGGGATCATTTTTATTCCAGCCTCTGAATTATACTTTTAAAGGATAGTCTTCATAGAAACTGAGACTTTATTATTGACAACCCTAATCATCTATACTTCAACAATCACCCTTGAACTTTTTTGGTGGCATTTTATTTTATTAAATTGTTGACTATAAAAAATGTGAACTTGGAACTAGAGCAAACATTATGTTGCTTTCACTTCAATAAGAGTAAATAAATGTTGTTGTAATTTACAAATGTTTTCTTAAAAGCACATTTATTTAAAGAAGAAAGAGAAACTGAGAAACAAACAGGGCAAGAGTCAAATTTCCTGAACACGCTTTACTAGAGGAGTATAGACTTGATTGGAGAGACTTGTGATTCAAAAATTGGAACCCATTAAAAGTTAAGCAAAGAGAAGGTAAAATGTTACATGAATGCACAGATGGCATATTTCTACTTCTGAGAAATATGTTTTGTGCGGTCACTTCATATGTCAAAAGGTAATCCCATTAAGGAGAACAAAGAACAACTGATCCCGTATTGGGGGAAGATAAAAGGCATCTTCAATTCTCCTACTCACTGTGAAGAAGAAACAAGCCCAGAGGGACAGCAGACATCCTCAGTCACAGCAAATTAAATATGCAGTTGGTTTTCTATGTCACCAAGCTGAGTTAGAGTGGGAATTATTTACAGCACTTTGAATGCAGGTGGAAAATAAATCTACAGAGATCCGTAACTAATGTGTATGGAAATTCTTTCCTTTATTTTCTCCTCCTTGCCCTTCTCTCCAATGCGCTTGGAATGAATCGATAACGGCAAAGGAGCCAGAGAAATGAGTGTGAAAGTCACAATGCTCGGAAAAGATTGCTTCAAGAACAACCACTCTGTCTGGAGTGAGTGGGAAGGGAATGAAATAACATCTCGTGAAAAGATGTTCATTAATGCAAAGGGTGAGGGTGAGCGAGTGGAAAGTGGAAGATGCTATGCATTAATTCCTAGCTTAGGCCTTTGCTTGAAGCTTGCAAGAAATAATATATACCTCGAGAAAAAAAAAAAAAATCACAGTTCCTTAGAGACTTGGAGCATACTGTCTTTCTGAACCTACAGATAATTGTTCAACTCTACAAGCAAATGTTACTTGAAAGCTTGATATTAATGAATTTCTACCCGGGAATCATTCTTGACTATTTCGTGCCTTCCTGAGTGATGTGTTCAACTTAGCTCATGCTCTTCTGTGACATCAGAGGTTTCAAGTTTCGTTTTCATTTTCTGGATCACATTTTTGAATCTTTAAAATCTAAGACATCTTTGAATAGTATGTTTTAATAGTCTGTTTTAAATACCAAAATAAATTTGTATTAAAAATTAACATTGTTATGGAGTTAACAATGGAAAAATAGGGCTTTGGGTTATTTGAAAGTGTGCGGACCTATAGAACATTTGGGATAGGGAGAAGGAAATAGGAGAAAATAAGTTCACAAAATGAAAAATATTCCACAAAATTAGCATTTTGTTTTCATGTTTTGCACTGTTTAATATATGAGTCTACTTTTTTTTTTATGAGATAAGAGTTGCTTATTTTTAATGCTTGGAGATAGAGCTAAGAGAACTTGATGGTATTACAGATTCCTGTATACACACATATGTTGTAGTCCATATACCCCTAATATGCCTGTTTCAACACAATGCACATCTGTTTTCAGTGCATTCGATTTAATGACTACAGTACGTGAGTTTTGCTATCTTAAAGGGATAGAGAATTATGAATATTTATGCTTAGTAAATACCAATAGCATCAACGACACCAATTAGGAGAAATAATTTCTACTGGGCACACTTTTTTTTTTTAACCAATTAGACAGTATGAACTGAGGACTGTGTCCGAATCCCTCTCTCCTCTCGAATTAATTTGCCACATTCTAAATCCGTAGATAAAGTGGTTCCAGAAGTGGAGTTGGTTGGATGGGTTTGCTTACACTGCAGTCCATAAAAGAAACAAAAAGCCTTGCATGCAAAAGAAATGAGGAAAAAAAATATAGAAAAATGAATAAATCAAAAGCAAAAATGAGTGTTTAAATAAAAATTTAAATCAAATGAAGCTGGCAATTATGAGAAGCACATTAAAGCATAACATATACAAGCTTTTATTTCTCAAATTACTTGCATAAAACAAGACACCTTAAGAGCAAATCGAAAGTTAAAACAAAGCAGATCAGTCCATTCTCCCTTTTAATTAGATAGCTTTCTCTAACAAGGTCTAGGAAAGGGATGCTTAATGTTCTCACAATTGCCTTGTGATTTGGGGAAATTTTTCATGATGAAACAGGGTTGTACTCAGCCGTCCTAGCTTTGGGAGCTAACGGGGAGCTTCCATGTGAAGGAAGTGAGACTAGTGTGAAATTATTAATCAGAACTGGCTACCTAATTAGCAAGGCCCAGCACAAAATGAAAATGTGGAACTCCTTTTTTAAAATGATCAAGAATATCAAGACAGTGACAACTGAGAATTAAACTAACCCTGTTAATAATAGTTCATAGTCTCAAAATTCTAACAATATCTTTAAATTTAATGGGTGGCCTAATACCTTACATGGGTCATGGGTTTTGTATCTTGTTTATTCCAGTACGTTTATGAAGGAATTATCTTTAATCAGAAGGGTGTAAACTCCTAGTATGATTTCCATCAAAAATAAAAATAATAGGCAAAAATGACTGACTGTTGAAATCAACCATAATCCCAAATACAATTTGAAAAAATAAAGTTTCTAATATATTTTATTGCCATTTTGTGTTGTTTATCATATTCCTGGCCAAAAAAAGGATGAATTATCTTTTACAAATCATACCTTGATGGAGATAAAATTCAGTTTCAAAATACTGTATATCTTCACATAAATTGCTTTGCCACATTCAAGGGCTCAGCATCTGCACTTAAGGGATGGCAATATTTCTCTCAAAGATCATTTTATATATATTTTTTTCTATTTCGGATCTATTTCTTCCTTGCTCTATCTAGGGCTTCTATCTTAGGAGCAAATAACTGTTCAATAAATTAACTGAGTTTGAAATTTCTGCACTATCATTCCAAATAGCACTAACTATATTTAATGTATAAGGTGCTTTGCTTTCTTCTCCTCATTAATAAGTGATGGGGCTTAAGTATCAGCAGTACCTGGCAGGGATTTAATAGCTCTTTGACGCAAAAATGGCTCTTCTGAGCATCTGATTCAATAGACTGTTAGAGAAAAAAAAAGGGGGGGGCAAGGAACCTTAAAAAAAAAACCCACAAACTTAAGATAGATAATACTAAAAACTACCCAGTCCTAGAAAAAGATGACTCACCTGTTCAATATCATTGTTCTTCCGCGATTTATATATAAATTCTCCGATGGCTACAAATACAGAAAGGACCAGTCCGGCAGCCAGAACGATGAAGATGCCCCCAATATTTTCGACTCCCAGAGCACTGGCCTCTTTGCTGTCTTCCTCAGGGCAGCCATTTCCCCGCCACCACTTCTCTTTCATCATGTGCAGTTTCCCCTCTTCTTGCAACTGGAGAATAGCAATCGTAATTTTGTCCCGATAAGGAGAGCCTGTAAGGTTATTTGGATATTGGTCACCCAAAGGCTGAAGAAGACGTGAAGAAGGATTGTTATCTTAGAAGTAACTACTTTATGGCTGCTGGGAAACCCCAATCCACAAACTGACTGGCAAAGGGCACGAAAGTTCAATACTATATTTTGAGGCTCTAAATAATTCAAAAGGGGACAGCTGACTTGTTGAGATGAACTCTGGCATAGACTTTTTTTTTTTTTTAAAACAAGGAAATGCTGATCTGGGAATTCTGTGACATAGCTCTGCTTCTGGTGGGT